ATGTATAAATATATATATATATATATATATATATATCCATATATGTATATATTTTATCATTTATATATATGATTATATATGAGCAATTTTTCTCATTTTTTCAAACTTGATTTTTTGTAAAAAAAAAACAATGTAAAAATTATTCTTTTAATTATTTTTCATGTTTCGTTCTTATTATTATCATTTTTTTGTATTAAAAAATAATTTTACGAAGAAAAGAAACATATATGGATATATATGGACATATTTTGCATACAATAATATATAATTATATATTTTTATATATGCTCTTATATGAAAAATTTTTTCATGTAAATATATGAAAATAATTGTTTCTTGTAATATTTTGAATGTATATTCCAGCGAAAATTTTTCTTAGAATTTCTCACATAATTTTTTAGAATTTCTAACATTTTTTAATATGATTCTATAAATTAAAAAAAAATTTCTCGGGCTTCTTAAACGAATTGGAACACTTCAGAAATGCTGAGAAAGTTTAATTGTAAATCTTTTTTAAAATTCTTTAAGTATGTGCAATAAATTCTGAAATATGCTCAATCAGCAATCAATATCTTTAAAAGAGTTTTTAAAAATATTTAAACAATTTTAAAAACGTTAAGAATAATGAATTAAATTTCCTTTTTTTCATTAAAAACGTTTATTTTAATGTTTAAAAAAATATTTTCTTAACGTTTGGAAAATGTTATTTTATATCTCTCACTTTTGACGCTGTGTCTATTGCTGTGTACTCACGTAATCGGATGCACTGCGCTGCTGGTACAATTGTAAATCCTTATCGCGTCGGTATGCTGCACAATATTATGCCAAGATGCGCAGATCAACGTATTGACGACAAAATCGACAGGTACAACGTCTACCACTAAATTTGCGTTACACACGATACTTCTCACAGTACCTCTACCAATCTCCGTCATTATACCTATCAAACAATAAAAAACGTGGCACATATGTATACTAATATTAATATAAAAGAAAATTAAAATTAATTTATGACTGTCGCATTTTTTATACAATAAATTTATTTGTCTATTAAGAACATTCATTTTTTCCTCAACTTTAATAACTCGTAAAATGCATTTATTTCCAAAATATAAAGATCCTTCAATTTTTATCAAGTTCATTATGGCAACAAACGTTACAAATGATTAATTTTATCATATTGCGTTTCTTTATATCTCCGATAACTTTTTATAAAACGGCAAAATACCATATTCTAATTGAAATAAATCTTTACTCTACGATTGATTTGACTCCTAAAATCAAACATGACTCTGGTACATTCCAATTCCCAGCGCAAACAAACATAGTTAACTATAATCATACCTGTAATCCCGCAAGTATTATCTATCCATCCTGGAAACGGTTCTTGGTACGCGGCGCAAACTATACTCGGTCGCACAATTGCGATCGGTAGACCGCTTCCTTTAGACATGACGATCTGCTCCGCCAAGCCTTTAGTCAACGTGTACGTATTCGGATGTTTGCCAATCAATCGCTTCTCTATTATCCCTATCGTCTCGTCGTCCAAATTTTCGCACATATCGACCACCGTGTACGGCTTCACCTCCGTGCTGTAACGTTAGCAATATACGATTAAGCGCGCACTTTACACAACCTATAATCCGCGTCATAGAATTCAGGACAAAGTGTTATTTTTAATTTTATCTAAGCGTACACACGGGACAATATGACGTTGTATTAACACCGTTATAGCTGACAGTAATCAAATTAAAAATAATCTTGATAATTTAATAACCGCATAAATGAAACAATTGCAAATCGTCGAACTTGTTTTAATAAAATATTATATGTTTCATTAATATTGTTATTGAATTAAGATTATTTTTTATTAGACTGTTGTTAGGTAGTAATAATATGTTTTATATACAGGGTGACCCATTTTAACTTAGACAGCCAAATATCTCCTAAAGTAAGCGCTATACAACAAAATTGTTTAAACAGAAGTTTTCGGACTTCGAGGGGGACATAAGATGATAACATTGGTTTGACCCTGAGTGGCGTCGTCAAGGTCAGGACAAGGTCACTTTGAATTTTTTAAATGGAACCCCCAATTTTTCATTACATGTTTTTATAGCACGCATCGAGAACTTTCCAAAACACA